AACCCTAAGTCGGGGTTAAAGCACGGTCCAGTATTGCTGGACAGTGCTTCCACAGGAGTTTAAGAACTCCCCAACTATTTTGGGGGACATTCTAGCCAGGTACCCCTGGCAAAGTTCAATTAAACCAATTTATTACAACATGTGGATGATTTATTAAGTCTAGACTATGAAATTATATAATCTGAAAAACACCATAGTGGTACTGAGCAACCTGGCAGAATGTGGTTACAAAGTTTCACCTCAAAAGACATAAATGTATAAACCAATGGTGGCATGTTTGAGGTTTGAGATTAAGAAAGGCAAATGGGCCTCCCTGGTGGCACAGCGGGTTAAAGCACTGCACTAAGAAGCTAAAGCCACTTGCCGCTGGAGTTTATCCCTGCCTGCCCTGGAGATGATCCACATGGCTGGCAGACCTCTCCTTACCCACCCACTGCTCCCCTCAGCAGTGTACTTATCGATCTGCATGTTCTGCTCCCCACTCTGTCTCTGGTGAAGCCTCTCACTGCCCCTGCACCTCTGGCCTGTAACCCAGTTCTGTATGAACAAATAAATAAATCTTTAAAACAACAACAACAAAAAAGAAAGGCAAATAAAGTCTGATGACAGAAAGGCAACAGGTAATTTGAGACCTTAAAGTCCCTAGCAACCAAAGGAAGTTGTACAGATTTTTGGGTACTGCTTGTTTGCAGGATATGGATTCCTAATTTTGGATTAATATCAAAACCTTTATTGGATGCTCCCAAAGGCTTAGATGCTGAACTTTTGTCTTGGACTCCAGAATGCCAAAGAGATTTTAATGAAATAAAGAATAAATTGATCTCATCTCCAGCATTAGGGATTCCAGATATCAAAAGGCCATTCAGACTTTATGTGCATGAGAGACAGGCAGTAGGGCTGGGAGTGCTAATCCAATTGTTGGGCGCAGAAATGCAGCCTGTTGCATATCGGTACAAACAACTGGACAACATCACTAAGGTGTGGCCTCCATGCTTGCAAGCTGTAGCTGTCACTTGTGACATCCTCTGTGAGGTGGAGAAAGTTGCATTGTGTCAACCCATCATTGTGTAGGTGCTGCATTAGATTTTAACATTGTTAGAGCAAAAGGGTGGACTTTGGTTGACTGCTGCATGAATGGGAAAATACCTAGCAGCTTTGTTAGACACTCCTAACGTGAAAGGGCACATTCCTAATACCTTAAATCCTTCTACACTGCTTCCAAGCCATGTAGATGGATCTGAGGATGAAAATTTAATCCATAACTGTTTTGAAATCATTAACACAGTGAATACCAGCTGACCAGCTTCTGCCAGATCCAGAGTGGGAACTATATACAGATGGCTGTGGCTTCATGGAACAAAGCTGTCCATGTGCAGGATGTGCCGTGGTGACACTCCTGGACACCAAATAAGCCAAAACTCTTCCGGCAGGTACATTAGCACAGAAAACTGTACTAACAGCCTTGGAGTTCTCTACCAGTCAAAGAGTCAATATATTTACTGATTCAAAGTACTCTTTCATGATTCTCCTCATGCACGGGGCCATTTGGAAGGAGCGAGGACTTCTTATTGCCAGCAACAAAGATGTTAAGAACCCACTAGAAGTCCTGGACTTGGATGGGGATTTACTGAGTTTGCCCCCAGCTTGACTTGGAGAGTAAACTCTCATGGGATAATACTCCTCCCAGAGGCTCTAGTATATTTGGTGCTAAAACACCTGCATGAAGGAGAGATGTTTTATTAGAGATGTTTATTTGAAGGGCCCACACTTAGATAAAATAGCACAACAGAGAGCCTGAGGTTGCCAAATATATGCCAGGAATCACCCAAATAATGACTATCACTTTATTGGAGTTCAATAAAGCCATTGGAGCTCAAAAGTGCCCTTTTGAGGACTGGCAAATGAATTTTTACACAAATGCCTAGAATCATTGGTGATTTCAAATACCTACAGGTTTTTGTAGATACCTTCTCAGGGTGGGTAGAAGCTAAGACAGAAAAAGCTTCAGAGTTTGCAAAGCAGCTTCTAAAGGAGATAATCCTTTGCTTTGGATTGCTTCAACTCCACCCAGAGTGATAATGGGCCTTCATTTGTCTCAGAAATTACTCATGAAGTAAGCAATGCCTTACAGATCAACTGGGAATTGTATGCTGCCTGGAGACCACCATCTCCTGGACAATCTGAAAAAAACGAATCATACCTTAAAGAAGACCTTGGCAAAACTGCAAGAAACACAACTGTGTTGGGACCAGGTATTCCTTGCCCTCCTTTGGATAAGAGTGGCGCTTAGAAGTGAGCTACATTAAGCCCCTCTGAAATTGTGTTTGGAAGCTCCTTCCAGGACTCAGTTCTGAAAGCCACTCCAGAAATAGAACAAGATTGCAGGATCACACAATATGTGAAACACATCCAGGAGGTTCTGGCAGCAATCCACAACTTTGCAACCTCCAGGACCTCTATGCCTCTTGATCAACCCTTACATCCTTTCAGACCTGGAGATCAGGTCAAGAGTTGGCAGAGTGGAGATGTTTTACTGAGCATGCATACTTCTTTAAAATTTGTGGCATAAAACCCTGGGTACATTACTCCAGAGTAAAGAAAGCCCCAGAAGGAACTGAGAGCCAAAACCCCATTGGTGTTGTAAACCCAAGACTTGTGATACTTATTTAAGAAAAAAGAATAACTTAAATGTTACTACCTTTTCTTCTTTTCCAGCTATTGTTGCAAGATACCCAGGATTCACTTTCTGAAAAAACCCTTAGATTATAAACATGCTCTAACCAATCATTTTCCTTTCAAAATAAAATCTAGAACATAAAAATGTCATCTACAATCATGCAATTATGCTGGAGTATTTTAAAAAATAATTTAATTTTTATTACACAGAAAGACCTTCAATCTTGATTTTGGTATTTCCTTAGGGTTTTTGTTTGTTTGTTCTTGTTTTTATCATTTTGGCCTATGAGTAAAAGTGCAGCTACATAAGATATTCCACATGGTCTATTTAAGAAAACTTTTCATGTTTATATGTTGTATGTCTGTATGTCTTTTCCTTGTGTTTAATTTTCTTGGCCTCTTGGCTCACAGCTTGTCTTTTGACTTTTCGCCCACTTTCAGCTTGCTATTGGGATTCGAGGTCAGCTGAACTGGTAGGACTCATTAACCAACTGATGTCTTTCTTGATTTCTTTGAGTTATTCATTTCTATTGATCTTGTAAGTAAACCCATTATTAACATATTTGTGTGTGCCTGTAGTTAAATCTTATAAGTTCCTTTAAGGGCACTGGTGAGGATCCACAGTCAGGCAACTCACTGTGAACTGTAACATCCTAAGCCTGAGCAGCCTTGCAGTTGTGCGTGTGGGTGAAGAACCCAGACAGAATTTGGTAAAGACAGTGGGGACTTGGTAAGTTTAGGGTCCCCTGCCACCCCGTTTCAGTTCCACCAGTTTGGGAGTCCCACTTTATTTTTGTTCCTTTTCTCCTTAATAAATTTTGTCTTCCTTTAAAAATATTTGTTCTTTTCATATGCTTGCCTGAGTGTCAGTGAAGTTTCTGCTGCAGCTTTGTGAGATACCAAGCCATGGTGGTCTAGTGGCTGTGGCTCAACACTGCTCCATTCTTGGTAGGGAGACTAGACCTGAAAACCTTTAATTACATTGTTAATACAGGGCAGCGAGAGGCACTAAAACTGGCCAAGGACACTGCCCAAATAGTTTCTTGGGTCACCTTCTGAGTTCTTCACCCACATACACAATTGTATTCAGATTCAGAGAACAATAATGGGATTCATTGAACAAACCAGGGAAAACAGAGTTAGAATCCCCAAATGGCTGTTTACCTCACCCAAAGCAGTGTTTATTGTCTTAAAATCTTAAACACAAATGTGCCTCCAATGGCATCTTCCTATCACTGTGGCTGGGTACCTGTTGTCCCCCAAGTAAGACACATTTCCAAGGCAGTGTCTTCCTGCTACCAAGGCGCTGAAGCATGTGGCAGTCAGACGTAAGCCAGGATTTAACTCAAGAAGACAGCAGAAGACACAATAGGAGATGCTCACCGGTGCTGCCAAGTTAAGTCAGCTCAGCAGCAGAGTTAGGACACTAAACAGCAGCTAAAGCAACTTAACTACCTGACAAATGGTCATACTCAGCTAGGAGGCGCACCTGCTCCAAATCTTTTCCTTTCCTGCCAGGTTGTAATAGCAGCAAACCTGGGAACAGTTTCAGTAGCTCCACTACTGGCAAAATCTCCAAACTTTTCTCCACTAAGATTGTCTGCCGGAAGCCTCTCCACATTCTTCAGAGGTCTACAACAGCCTTCTGGAAGATTCACACGGGTGGGGGAAGAAATCTCTGACCCCAGAATTATTGTAGAGCTGTAAATGTTGGGGAAAAAATAAAAACAAAAACCTGAAAGATGAATGCTGGCGGCTGATTCTGCACCCGTTTTTTTCCAACCAGATATTTTGTTAGCATTTCCCCTCCAGGGGGCACCACTGGTTACAGCTAATTTTAATAATAAGCATGGTTACAAGTAACAGGTTTTCGCAAATAATTACACCTTATTATTACTTTCTTTTACTAGTAAGCAGATATTCATTCGAGTCAGGCATTAAGTCTTTGAGGTGTTTACGCTTTCTCTGTCTACTGTGACCTGCAAAATTTATAGATAATTCTTACAAAATTATTTGACAAAGAAGCAAGCTTCCAATAGGCATGTGCGAGAAGTGACTTATGTACATGGGTGGTGTTAGCTTGGAGTGAGCGCTGGCTCAAAAAGTCCGCAAAGAAGATCACTCAGTGGAAAGGCTCAGTCACTACAGCTTGCTGGGGCCGTGATTGCCCAGCTCCTTCCCAGCAACCACCCCCAGCCCTTCCCCCCACCCAGCCTTCCCCCACCAGGAGCCTTAGCGTTCCTCGGATTCCGCTTCTCCCCGCCTCCTTGACGCGGTCTCTACGTCACGGGACTTTGAGCTCGTTCTCGCGAGGCTTCCGCGGCGCAGGCGCTGGTCGTATTGCTCCCTGAGGTGTCTGGGTTTGTACCCCTTTTCGTTAAGTCCTGGGTGGTCCAGAGGCATTTTGTAGATTTTGGGATATCCGAGAATGGTGCAGCCGACCCTGGATTTCTTGGGAGGGTTGGGGCCTGGGTTTCTTGGGAGGGTGTGGCGGGCCCGGGGAGGGCGCCTGCCGCCCGAAGACCGCGTGTGCGCTCTCTCGCCAGGTGTGCGGGCTGTGAGGGAGTCGGCGGGGCGGAGACGCCCCGGAGTTGCGCGTTGTGAGTAGGGCTTCAGGCAACTTGGCCGGCTGTACTTCAACCGGGCTCCCGGCTTGACGCCTCATAAGTGAAGTGTAGGGGGGAGACCCAGATATGCAGATGGGGTGAACTCCAGAATTCGCTTCTTTCTGTTATTATAGAAGTTATTTCTTTCAACGTTCCAAATAGGGTTGGCTTTTCTTAATGCTGCGTCAGGAGGTTTGATTTTCTGTTAACCGCAGAGGCCAAAAGGGTCGATACAAGACGTTTTATCGCGATGTTTTTCTCCCCTCAGCTGCTTTTTTGTTAGGATGGATTATAGGACGGAATCCATCGAACGCACTCCAGGACACATGTGAGTGGCCTCCTGTTTCCCATCCCTTTAAATTTTTGTATAGTCAGTGGTAGGTTTGCACTTTCAGAGGTGAATTTAATGTATATAAACGTAGATTGTTTTACACTTATATAATGCAACGTTGAGTAAATTGTTCCAAAGTTCCCTTTGAAGATGACACTTCAGTATGTGACTGACTGAAGGCTTTCTGACTTTTTTTAAGCTTTATTTATGCATACAGGAACTGGGGTACAGGCTAGAGGTGGCGGTGGGGAGTTTGAGAGAATTTGCCAGAGACAGTGGGAAGCAGAACAGGCAGGTCTACCGAAATACATTGCTGAGGGGAGCAGCAGGCAAGACACAGACATGGTCTGTGCCATGTGGGACAGCAGCCTGGCTGGGGATCAGCAACCTGGCTGGGGATTAATCGCCTACTGCAACCACTTGAAGCTACTTTCGGCGGAGAATTTAATAGTGCTAAGCTTTAATCCCTTGCAACCTGGGAGGACTCTCTGATTTGTTTTTTTTAAATAGGAGGAATCTTAGAAGGTGGAAATAAAAAAAAAAATTACATTTTTTTTTCTTAAAGATTTGTTTATGCACACAGAACTGGGGTACAGGCCAGAGATGTGGGAGGTAAGAGGATTCATCAGAGACAGAGTGGGGAACAGAACAGGCAGATGGACTGAAATACACTGCTGAGGGGAGCCCTGGTGGAGACAGGAGAGGTCTGCCGCACCATGTGGCTCACCTCTGGGTTGGTCTTGAACTTTCACTGAAGCTGCTGCTGGTAGCTTGCAGTGCTATGCTTTAACCTGCTGGACCACCAGGGAGGTCCACCCCCCCACCCCCAAAAGTCCAATTTTCAATAAATGGAATTTATTTCATGTTGGAAAGTTTTTTCCTAGTAAAGATTTTTTTTAAGAGTGCTAAATACTGTACATTGTTTTATTAGCATTGTCTAATACAGATAGTCACTAGACACAAATAGCTATTTAAATGTAACTTAAAGTAATAATAAATATTTACTCCTCAATTTTATTAGCCATAATTCAAGTCCTCAATATTCTCATGTGTTTGGTTGCTACCACATTGTCCATCACATTATACAGAACATTTCTTTTGGGCAAAATCTATGATTTTTAAACTTTTCCTGCCCTTAATATACCTAGACTTATGACACTTTCATAGTTGTCCTGGATCACTAGAAAAGATACTGTAGACTTTTTTTTAGATTTATTTATTTATGCATACAGAATTGGGGTACAGGCCAGAGGTGCAGGGGCAGTGAGAGGATTCACCAGAGATCCATGAAGTACAGAGCTGAGGGGAGCAGTGGACTAGACAGAGAGGTCTGCTACGCCATGTAGATTACCTCTGGGGCTGGGGATTGAACTTGCACTGAAGAAGATGCTGCTAGCTTGCAGTGCTGTGCCTTAACCTGTTTCGCCACCAGAGAGGGCCTTTTCTGCTCTGGGTAAATGTTTACATTTTGCCAGGCAGTCGCAGTGCTGTACTGAGACAAAAAAAAAAAAAAGCCTGTGGGGAGAAAATAATAACAATAAATAATAAAACATTTATATACCAGAGGCAATTTATGGGGTGGATTGGGGAATGGGATCAAAAACAGCGGGGGGAAGGAAATACACTGGACTTTCGTGATGGCACATGGGTGGTTTGGTGATGGGAAGCCCAAGGGGATTGATTACAACTGAGATGGAAAAATGCACAAAATGATGTAAAAATAAACTATAATATTACTTAATAAAAAAAAAAGCTAAAAAAAATGCCCGTGGACCATAAAGCAGTCTAATGATTACTGTTAAAAATCTATATCAGTTTTGGCCCTTTCTGGTGGCGCAGCGGGTTAAAGCACAGCACTAAGAAGCTAAAGTCACTTCCGCATGAGTTCAATTCCCGCCTGCCCTGTAGGTGACCACATGGTGTGGCAGACTTCTCCTGACCCGCCTGCTGCTCCCCTCAGCAGTGTACTTCGATCATCTGCCTGTTCTGCTCCCCACTCCATCTCTGGTGAATCCTCTCACCCTCTGCAACTCTGGCCTGTGCCCCAGTTCTGTATGAATAAATAAATAAATCTTTTAAAAAAATAAATCTTTAAAAAAAAAAGTGAAGTGTCAATTAGATTAAAACAGGCACCCACAACTTTGTAAACTTAGTATTTAGAGATGGGATGGTTTAATTAAAAGTCAGATTGATCTTAGATATTCTTGACATAGAATTCTTTGTTTTTCATCATTGATAGAACATTGCTAATCTTTGCCCCTTAATTTTCCAGTTTTAAGAAAGATCAGTAAGTGCTTCTCAATCTTTCCCCAACTTTACTGTTTCTGTCAAGTTTACATTTGAAATTTAGTCACCTGTTTATTGGTAAAAATTTGAATGTTTATGACTTGAAAATGCCTGGAAGAATACATGCTAGTTATCTCTGGGTGGTAAAGGTGGTCTTAATAATTTGAAATTTAAATTCATTCAAGTTCTTGTATTCATTAGTATAGTTTTATTAATTCCAATGTGTTTGTTTTTAGTAGGAAAAATTGTTGAGATCTATGCAAACTTTTAAAATGTAAGTTTACATTAAAACTAAAAATATAGTAAATAATTGAATCACTAGCATCTCTGCCACTTGAGTCATTCAAGTGGCTTTCTTGGGCAGCATAGAAATTAAGCATTTCTATCATGTATTCAGACAAGCCAATCCTCTTTTCTGTTTTACTCTCCTTTTACTACTCAGTCAGAACACTTCTCACACTTCTGTTATCATATGTATGAAGGTTTAACCAAACAACTCACCAACTGGCTATCCTTCAGTGTATTACAATTAAGGATTATTGTACCTCCCTTCAAATTCCATTGCTAGGAGTTAGGTACCTAGGTTACCTACAACTTCTGTTCAGTTTGTCTGCAAATTGGAGCTTCTTATGTCTCCCACTTCAGGTCCTATTAATTTGTTAGAGTAGCTCATAGAACTCTAGGAAACACTTTGTTATACAATTTCCACTTTACTAGAGAATATGAAAAGGATACAGAGGAACAGCCAAATGAGGGATTTGTCAGCATAGGAACTTCTGTCACCTTGGATTTGGAGTTTGGCACTATCTAGGTGTAGATGTGCATACCTCTCAATACTGAGTTTATGAAAGTTTCCTCATAGGCATGATCGGTGATGAATTTTGCCTCCAGCCTTCTATCCTACCTGAAGGACAAAGGATGGTGCTGAAAATTCCAAAAATGTAATAATTTCTTGATCTTTCCTGTGGCCAGAAATCACTTAGGAGCACACCCAGAGTTGGAACAATAGAATACAAGATATTCCTAATAATGCTCCAACCACTTAGGAATTTATAAAGGTTCAAAGAGCCTTGTGTTAGGCACCAAGATTTTTCCAACTATTTCACACTTTGCATGATCCACATGAAGTTTTATTGGCATAGTGTTGACTCTAGACTCAGTGGGCATGTCTTCCACTTCAGGTTCTATTAATTTGTTTGAGTGACTCACAGAACTTTCAGGTAGTCTAAGCTTAATAAACCTGTTTCATCAGTGAAGATTGCCATAAATCATTTTTTGAAAAGAAGAAAAAATATGGCCTAATTTGAAGACTTTTGTTTGTTAGGTAATCACCTCCCAAAGAGGGGATACTGATTGTTCCAGTATGAGTCATGGTAGTTTTTAATTGTAACCAACATTTATAAAATCTAACTTTGAAAATTTTTGCTTTATTTACTCAAAGCTTGTGCTGCGAGTGTGGTGTTCCAATTAGCCCAAATCCTGCCAATATTTGTGTGGCCTGTTTGCGAAGTAAAGTAGACATCAGCCAAGGCATTCCAAAACAGGTCTCTGTTTCTTTCTGCAAACAATGCCAAAGGTATGGTACAGTACTGTTTTATTCTATTTATTGTTTAGGCTTATATGTGGAAGTGCCACCAGCATATGCTGAGATTATTAACGTACATAAAATGACATGCATATAATTGAGAATTAATTTTTATTTATCTAGTGTATCCAAAGATTTTAAAATTTGCAGTCTTGTGGTTTCCTTTTCTAGTTTATTTTGCTAATTTGGTAAAGAAACTGTAACTGTGTTTGAATCTTTTTCTGTTGAGGGATTAATGGGTTTGATGTATATAGTAAGCAATACAAGTTAATGTTTGTAAGGATGACAGTATGTTATTAAGCATGTATTGCTGTTATTACCATGAGTTGTTATTTTTTTTTTACTAGAATCTATGTATGATAAAAAGCACCTTATATTTAAATTAGCAATTTGCTTTGCACATTGTATTAATTTCATGTAACTAAATTAGTGAAATTTGATGGGGAAAAAATTTAGTAAACCAAACCTGGGATGGTCTGAAACAAGACTGGATTTAAGGCAAGATTTCTGAAATTATGTCTGAATTGCCAAGTGGGTTAACACTAGAGTGGTTCTTAACTTTTTTGGAGTGTAGGGGGTGTTGGTGAGTCCCTTGGAGAATTTGAAACCTTTCTCCCAGAAAATGACTTAAAACATGTATTAGTACAAACATATGAACCATTTGTGTGCATATTAGGGAGTTTACAGTTTGGAAACTTGGCAAGTGTGAGGCTTATTGTAATTTTTTTTTATGCTGAAAAGAATTGTAGAGTGAAAAAACTGAATAAATAATCAAGAGGCCTAATTTTGGGTTTTGAAACTGTAACAATTAATCTATAAATATTAATTTCCTAATCAGAATGTGAGGGCTTTATTAAGATAATACACGAAGCCCTTTGTAACCTGAAAAACATGCTTAAAGTTATAAGGTTACAAGTTATAAGGTTTTTGTGAAAGTTAAAGCCTGAACATTCAGACAGTAAATTCTT